TTTATTATGGTATCCCGTTTGGGACATTTAATTAATGACACCACTGAGATTTCTAAGCAGTAGCTCATAGAGAGCTTTTTGTGTTTGTTTTCACTTGTTTGAGGAGTACACAGTGGCAGTTCTGGACCATAAGCTAAATGACACATTCACATATCTGCTTGTGACTTCTCACCCTCTATTCAAGCAATTTCTAGCTCATTTAACATTTTATCTTTCCTTCCATTTTTAAGGGCTCATGAATTTCGTTCCAAAAAGATTTTCAAAGAAGAATCATTGCTCTTATCTGGGTTCTTATGTCTGCTGAACAAATCTTCTACTCTCCGCTCTCCACGTATTGATTCTTCATTTCATTCCCCATGGCAATCATTTCAAACCTTTCCCTCTGTCATTAAGCCTTCAACATACTGCTATCTCCTATACTTTGAAAAATGTAATTTCAAAAAACAGCTTCAACAAGAAGATTGAGGCCAACTAATGGGAACTTTCTTAAATCCTCATCCACTCTGAAAATTTTCTCAGAATCATCAGTTATGGTCTCCTAATCTGCTATCCATGCTATGCTAAGACCTACAGAGTTCTCCCTATACCTTTGATGTCATCCCATCTGGACTCTTTCAAGGTCTCATTGCAGCAGATATTTCTCTCTCTCTCTCTCTCTCTCTCTCTCTCTCTCTCTCTCTCTCTCTCACACACACACACACACACACACACACACACACACACACACACACACGCATCTTCAACTCTCTTTTCTTCCCTAACCCCACCTTATTGGTTTACAAATATATTCTGGTCCTCCTAATCCTAAAAGAAGTTTTCTCTTGATTCTTCTACATGGATTCATTCCCATCTCTCCTGTCCTCTTCACTGAGATTCTTTTGGGGGGGGGAAATGTTGTCTACACCTGAACCTTCTACTTCCTAAGCACTCACTCTCTTTTCAACAATGTGCAATTTTATTTTTGTCCCCATTGTTCTATGGAAGCTTCTTTTAGTAAAATGACCTAATCATCAAATACAATGCTTTTTTTTTTTTGCTTATCCTTTACTCACAATCTCTCTGTAACTTTTGCCTTTTTTGATCACCCTCTCCTGGATATAACCTTTGTTTCTTGGCCATGGAGATACTTTATTCTCCTGGCTCTAATCCCTCTCTACTTATTCCTTTGTCATTTCCTTTAAATGACTTTTCATCCTCTTTCTGATCTCGTCAGTTGAATGCTCCCCAAGGTTCTGTCATTGGTCTGCTCTCTTCTTCTGATATGTCTTCCTTCAGCAATGCCATTCAATACTATGGCTGCAAATATCACCTCTATTCAGGTGACTCCCAAGTTTGTACACATAATTTGGAGGTCAATATAATGCAACAGAAAAGGGCTCTGGGTTTGGAGTAAAAAAGCCTGGGATGGAATCCTAGCTGTAACGTGGACTGCCGGTGTAACTCATCTCATCTCCTTATAGTCCTTTCCTGATTCTTTTCAGCTGTAAATTTCCAATCCTTTGATCAGCTTTGTCACTTTTAGAAAGATACTTTGCTAGGAGATTGATCAACCATAAGGCTACGTCTAAAGTGACCACCCACAGTCAAATGAAAACTGAAAAATTAAATCAAAACTGGAAACTTAGTCTGAACACTAAACACTTAAGTATTGCAAAGAGGACCAATGACATCACCCTCCAGGTTCCAGCTAAATTGATGTCTATCTGTTCCATAGTATTTCTCCCATCTCTGTGTCTTTGCACTATGCCTAGAATGAACTCCTCCCTCACTTCTGCCTCACAGAATCTCTTACTTCCTTGAAAATGTAGCTAAAGAACTGCCATTTACATGAAGTGATTCCTTTATGCCCTCAATTGCTAGGACCACCTTACTAAATTGGATTTAAACACCTCATTTATTTTGTATTTATTTGGCATGTGTGTGAGTGAGTTTGTACATGTTGTTTCCCTTGATAGAATATAAGCTCCTTGAGGGCAAGAACACGTCCATTCCTTGTCTTTATATCATCGGTGCCTAGCTTGTAGTTGGAGTTTAGAGTATGCTTATTTATTGATTGATCTTTCTATCTTATTCAGTGTCTACTCTGTAGTAGGTATTGGGCTAAATGCTTTACAAATATTAACCTCATTTGATCCTCTCAACAACCCTGCCAGGTAGGTGTTCTATTATTCCGATTTTACAGTTGAGAAAACTGAGGAGACAGAGTTAAGTGAATTGCCCAAGGTCACACCTAAGGATTATTTGAGGCAGGATTCAAACTCAGGTCTTCCTCACTCCACGTCAACACTTGTCATTGCACCACCAAGCTTCTGCAAAAAATTTCATGAGGGATTTTGTCAATTGTTTTGCTGAAATCCAGGTATATAAATCTAGAGCATTTACCTAATCCTATAATCCCCCATCACAAAAGATAATGAGGTTATTCTCATAGGACTTATTCATAATGAACTCATACTAGCTTTCAATAATCACTATTTCCCTTCAAAGCATCTCTTTTTTTCTTTTCTATGACAAAAGAAAATTTATGCACAACCCCGAAGTTGTTGGCCAGCACTTTTTGGATTTTGTTTAAAATGTGTGTGTGTGTGTGTGTGTGTGTGTGTGTGTGTGTGTGTGTGTGTGTGTGTGTGTGATGGTGTAGGCAGTGATAAGGCTCTACCAAACCCTGGAAACTAGTAGGCCATCATTATGCAAACTTATTCAGTCTACTTGATGGAGTCATTCATCTTTCTGTTGTATGTCTTTAGCTCACACCACACACACATAACAATTGTGTCTTAACTAAATTTTATATGTTTCCAAAAGCCTAGCATCATGATATACATATGGTAGATGTTTCATAAATATTTACCGAATGAAGCAGTTTTTCTATAATCTACAGACCCATTTGACTCTTTTTATGATATGCATATTGAATAAGTAATCTGTCCAGAATTCTCTTTGAAGTAATTTCTTCAGTAGTCCCTCACAATAAAATAATGTTTCTTACGTCACTTATGCTTTACAAATACTAAGTGCTTAGTGCTTTTTTTTTTATTCATTCTTTATACCTATTTGTATAACTTACAATGTTCATTTAAAAAAAATTAATTCTTACTTCTGGTCTATCTGTATTTCTCTAGAAACATATGATTCAAAAGACATATACCTCATTCAGATATCAGAATTGTTTACCATTGTCTTGACTAAGTGATTGATACCTATTAGAAATTCACGGAATATTAAAGGATAATTATTAGTGTGTCTGCATGGGCAGAAGACCTTCATTTAGTGCCAGAGTTTTGACCATCTCCATTGTTTTCCCTAATATTCCACCAATCTCAAACCTCGCTGTCCTAGACACCCTTTGTCTTTAAATTTTAAAAGCTTGTGTAGTCTCAGGCTAATTTAATCCATGTGCTCCTGTTTTGTTTACCCAGAAGTCATTTCACTATTGCTTTTCAATAGTTATTTGCTATTCAATAAGCCTATTGGGACTGCCTTTGTCCATCTTGAAGGGACTGTTTTTTCTTCTTAAAAGCAAGAAGTTAGAATTTGGTTTTGCTGTAAGCAAAGTGTTTCCAATATGGAAAGTTGGAGACTTGAAATGTCAATCCCACTAGTTCTCTCTGGGTTCTTAATTCCCAACATATCTCTTGACCCTAGTACTGATTAATGAAAAATATTATATAAGGATTCACAAGGGAAAATAACACAAACATTATGAAAGACTTGATGGAAGATATATCCCTTTCAAAGAAATCAATTAGAATACACCCTATGGTGTTGTTTTTTAGCTTCATAATGTTACCAAATGCAAAATTCTTCCTTTCCTTGAGTAATTAAATCATTTCACCTAGCAAATATGTAAAATAAGTGAAGTTATTTTGTCTATTATAAATACCCAAATTAACTATAAAGTACATATGAAGAAAGATGCTATCTGCATCAAGAGGAAGAACTGATAAATAGATGTATAGAATAATTTTACACATATATACTAATTTGTGTCTAATGGTATTCATCTCTAGGGTGGGGAGGAGGAGAGAAGAAAAGAAGAAATTTACGTGACAATTTTGTTGAATATTTGAAAGCAATAGCAAGTTGTGCATAGTAGATTTGCAGTTTCATGTACAATCATCTTTTTTATTGTACTGTGCTATGGAAATGCTTGTTTTGTTCCATAAATTAAAAATAAGAAAAACAAATGTATATTTCTTTTCTTTTAAAATATTTTTTATTATTGCTTTCTGGTTCTTACATTTCTATGTTATCTCATGTATTTACATCCTCTTCCTTCTCCCTTAGAGTCATCTCATAAAAGAAATGGTATTTTTTTTAGACAGGAAAAAAAAAGTCAGCACAACTGAGAGATATATTGACAAAACCCCAAAACATTTGCAACATGTGACACGTGTGGACGCCCCACCTCCACGAAGCGGTAGTGGATCTGTTCAGGTGAATCCTTCATTCAAGTCCCACTTGATCTTACTCTTGTTACATTTATTTTTGGTTTTCTGATGTATCATTCTTTCCATTTACGTTGTTGTAGTTACTATATAGTGTTTTCTTGGCTCTGCTTACTTCACTCTGCATCAATTCACATAGATCTTTCCATGCTTCTCTACAGTCATTGCACATACCATGTCTTACAGCTCAGTAGTATTCCATTAAATTCACGCACCACAGTTTGTTTCGACATTTCCCAACTGCTGGGCAATCTACTTTGCTTCCAACTCTTAGCTATCATAAAACGTGCTGCTATAACTATTTTATAGTATATGTGGACTTTTTTTTCTTATAACAAATGTGTATTTCATAGGACCACAGATTTAGACTTAGAAGAGACCTCAGAGGGCACCTTGTTAAGCCCTCTCATTTTATGGATGAGGAAACTGAGGTATCAATCTTGTTATTTTATAATAGGAACACATGATAAAGAACCTTATCATAAATACGCACAGCACTGGAAGAACTGGGTTATTATGAGCTTTATTATCTCATTTCTTTACTCTCTTGGGCAAGATTTTATAGCCTTATGATTATTATCTGACTGTAAACTATGTTCATGATGAAGAAAATATGCCTCTTCCCATTTCCAAGCAGGTCTGGCTCTGGGCTGGGATGAGATGGGAGGTGTGGAGGAAATGTCTCATCCTTTTGTTGAGATTTCTTCTGCCTGTGTCCTCCTTCTGGCTGAATGAATAAGAAGAGAAGAACAGGACAATTTCAACATTTAGCTATTATTTATGAAGCTGAGGCAAAAATGTCATATCACATTCAAAGTCCCATCACATTACTTTGAAGAGGACTGAAATGCAGGAAGTTGAGAGTTACATAGAAAAGAGAAAATTGCAGGGCTCTGCACCATTTTGAAAGAAAGCTGACTTCTTGACACACTAAAGAATCTTTGATTTTGAATTGCTGTGGTTTTTAAAGAAGGTAGTTTGAGTTGAATAGTGGAAGTATATGTACTTATGGTTCTCAAACGTGTATGAATGTCTCATATTTGACTAAATTACATAGACTTATGAAAAATAAATTAGGAAAGAATATGAAAAATGTATGTTTAGTGCCCACAGCCCAATTTAAGATTACCTATTAGGTTTGAGTGGGGCATACAGTGACAGTTACCATAACAACAGAAAGATCTAGAACTGGTTATTATGAATATAAGAAAAGATGTCATGTTATGGTAGTCTTGTCTGAGAAGAAGCAATCCTGTTCGTAGATAGTCTGGTGATAGGCTACTTTAAAGAGTTGAATTAAAATTTTGCTTTATGTGTATCAAAAGTTAGAGCACGTTAGAGCATGTGTTTTCTAGCCTCTACTAAAGTTCTATGCCAGTGTCAAGCTCATCATGATGCTCTGGCTGGCTATGCCACATCTGATAGGTACCAGTTACACAATGGATATCACCAAGGCAATGTCAGTCAAAGTGCTAGATGTCATGGATACAAAGACAAAAACCAGTTGCCGCCTTCAAGGAGCTTCCATTACACTGGGGTGGGGGGAGGGACAGTGTGCACACAAGGAAATAGAGAGTAACATATCATGTGGGGGTGGTGAATGGGGAGGAAAGGGTCCTAACCCCTGGGGGGAAATCTAACTCTTGAAAGAAGCTAGGAATTCCAAGAGGTGGAGATGAGGAGGGAGTACATTCCAGAGATAGGGCTACATAGTGCACAGGCTCAGATATAGGTAATTGATTGACTTATACACATATATGTATATGTATATACACAATATGTACATGTACATATATATGTACATATTTGTATATAATGGCAAGGAGGCTAATTTGGTTGGACTGTACATTATATGAAAAGGAAGACTATGAAACCTTTTACATACCTCCCCCTTTTTGAGAAAATACAATGTTCTTGAAACATTAAAAAATTTTTTATTGGTATATTCTGTTTTTTATATCACCTACATTTCCTAAGGGGTACTTCTGCTCTCCCTCCCAGAGAGCCATTCTTTATAACAAAGAATAAAAAAAGGAAAAAAAATATTCAGCAAAACTAATTAACACACTGAAGAAAATTTAACTATATATAATATTCCACACCCATAGTTCCCCACCTCTGCAAAAAGGTAGGGAAGTGATTATTGTCTTTTTAAATAAAATGAAATATTGTCTTTAAAAATGCTATTTATATAATATTTGAAAGTGAGTATTTGAAGATCTGCTTTTAATTCAAATAATTTTACCTCCAAATTAATTTATAACTATGTCTACTATCCAAAGTGATAGGGATACTTCACAGGGTTGTTGTGAAGATCAAATGAGATAATATATGTAAAAGTTCTTGGAATATCTTAAAGTACTATGTAAATACTAGCCATTATTATTATTGTTGTTATTATTTATTATTAATATGGAATTATTTAGCTTAGAGAAGAAAAGCTAAAGAACACTTTTAAAAGGATGAGAAGGAAAGATTTTACACTGAGGGTAGGGACTATTTTTTTTCACCAAAAATAAAATATGATCATAGGATCATAGATTTAGAACTGGGAAAGACCTTATAGCCCATAGAATTCAATACCTTAATTTTATAGATGAGGGAACTGAGGCATAGCGTGATTAGGTGACTTGGCCAGGGTCATACAGCTGATAAGCTTCTGAAGCAGGATATGAACCCAGATGTTCCTGACTCCACATCCAATGCCCCATCCTATATGCCATGCTTCCTGTATTAAAGAATTTCTTGATAGTGATGACTAAATATGGTATTAGACTACTAAGGCTACTAGTGAATTATACTGTGACTTTGGATATATGTGTATAATGTATGTCAGTATATATGTGAGTGCACACGTACGTTTGCACATATATGGGTAAAATGAGCTAGATTCTCTTATGTGTGGTATGGACAAGGAGTATTTTGTATGCATGTAAGGGTAGATGAGGGACTGTATTCAAGATCATTTTCCAACCTTAACATTCTGTAATAATTATCCATTGACAACAAAACATAGAGAATGATGAGAATTCTGGAGTATGGAAACACAATCAAGTTTACCTCATGAAAACGAACCAAATACTTTAACACAGACATTATTAACATGCCCACATTTTAAACTGTGAAAAGTGACAATCATAAAGACTAATACAACAGCAAGAATCAATACATAGGTATATGAGTAATACTGGATATGAATAGTAATATATGAACATACTGAGGTTGTTAATATTACTGAACTAGTCTTAATGAACTAATATCAGATATTAACAACTAATATTACAGCAGCGTGGCATTTTCCTGAAAGAAATCAGAATTTCAATCAATTCAATTATGTGGGAAGACGGTGAGCAGGGACAACTAAGATAATTGAAATGGATGGATAATGCATAGATAATTAACAAGTAATAATTTTTCCTCTACTAGTACTGGGCCTGCTACCAAGCTGGAGTATTGTCTGCTTGTTGACTCCCTTAACCCTCATGAAAGAAAGATCTGAAAAAAGATGAAGGGGTAATATGGGGAAGCAAAAGGCCTGAAGCCTCAAGTTGAGTTTTTACTCCTTAACAAACGCACAGCTAAAGTGATGACCTAGTATCACATAGTAAAAGGGGAATGGCTAAAATTAGCCCATAACTGACCTTAATTTGCGTCTATGTTCAAACTACATGTTAGATTTCAAAGTCATCGTCAATGTACTGAATCACTATACACAGTGTTGGCAGCTAGGTGGCACAGTGGATAGGGCACAGTGGCTTGGAATAAGGAGCACTTTTCCTCATGAGTTCAAATACAGCCTCAGACATTTCTGGGCAAGTCACTTAACCTTGTTTGCCTCAGTTTCCTCATCTGTAAAACAAGCTAGAAATGGTAACCTACAGCATCTTTTCCAAGAAAACTTCAAATGGGGTCACAAAGAGTTGGACACGACTGAAACGACTCAACAACAAATATAGGGTATGAGGCCCTATGTTTAACCTTGCTCTGGAATCTTCTAAGTTTCTTAAGGGGCAGAGCCTGGATTTTTTTTTCACATTGGTATTCACTACACCTAGGATAGTATCTCAGACACAGTAGACAATTAACACTTGTTGAATTGAGACTTGGACTCTGGACTTGTCTTGGAAGACTTTACAATTTGTTTGGATGTACTAGAGTTATACTCAAAAAATCTACGTGGATAGGCTCTGAAAGAATCTCAGTTCCTTGGGGGCAGGGATTTTTAATTAATTTTAACTTAATTAAATTAAATAAATTAATTTTAATTTAAATTCATATAACTTAATTTTTCTTATGTCTGTCCCCAGAATCCAGCACAGAGCCTGGCCCACAGTGTACACTTACAAAATGTTGGTTGCTTGATCGATTGAAAAATGAGAGTCACGTCCATAATTGGGGAATCAGAAAGTCTTACCAATTCCTTTCACATTTTGACACATGATTCATGATTAGATATTTTATTTTACATGAGAAACCAACTCCTGCATTTAATATTAATGGCCTGAAATGCTGATTTCTGTTATCAAGAACTCAGAAGCTTCATCAGCATTTTCAAATTGATTTTCATAAACTAAGTTGGCTGTTGCAGGGCTTCATTTCCTTTTTGCAGCTCCCACGTACATTAATTTGAACTAAGTGCATGTTGGGAGGAGGCAAATGCATGCCCCTGGTTTTTAATCATTGCTCTTTACAGGCTGATTGACAAGCAGTGGAGAGGGCAGTTGTTTATATACCACGCACAGATGTAGGCCTGCAGAACAAAGGAGGGAGGGAGAAGTTTTTGTTGTTGTTTTCTTTAAACCTTGGTAGAGTTAGATTTTTGTTTTTTCGTAGTAGAGTCACTAAAGCCTTTCTCTGATTTCTTAGTACCTAGCACAATGCCTTAAAAATGGCAGGCATTTAATAAATGTTTATTGAACTGAATTATTGAATAAAATGATACAGTGTGAATAATGTACTTTATTGTGAGTGCTTCAATCTCCTGATGGCCAGGCCAATATCCGCTAGGGCTCCTATTGGCAAACAATTGATGCTTACTGGCAAATTTGACAAACTGGCGTACTGTATTTTTTTAGCCTGGAGGATAAAACTAAGGGTAAAATGAACTTTTCCACTTGACTTTATCACGAAATATCTATCACTTTCCCACAATTCCTTTCAGGAGGAACTTTGTTCCCATAATTCCTTTTCTTTGTTCCTTCAGTAAGAAGGTACAAATCTGTGGTCAGCTGGAGGTAACACATTATATATTGTATACTTGAAGCTTAGGTCAGTTACATATTCTACACAGTATTTGTACCTAGTATTGCTTGCCACTAATGAACCATGATGAAACATTTCACCTCAATCTTCAACTCGTAAGAAGAGTTAAAAAATTTATTTCAATATTTTCAAAACTTCCTGCTCATCATCATCATCCCTTCCTCCTCCTCCTCCTCCTCCTCCTCCTCCTCCTCCTCCTCCTCTCCTCCTCCCCTCCTCCTCCTCCTCCTCCTCCTCCTCCTTCTTCTTCTTCTTCTTCTTCTTCTTCTTCTTCTTCTTCTTCTTCTTCTTCTTCTTTCTTCTTCTTCTTCTTCTTCTTCTTCTTCTTCTTCTTCTTCTTCTTCTTCTTCTTTTTCTTCTTCTTCTTCCAGCAGGAAGCATGTTATTAGGGGGGAAATGCTCTTGGCTAATGAGGGAAAAATGACAAAGGGGACTGAATAAAACATCAATGCTGTGAAGCAAATC